TGTAGAGAATTTCAAGCGCTATCTTTTAGTATAAAAAGATGTCCCGATCTAATGGATAATAGAAGAGTTATACTCAAAATACGAATGGTATAATTTATTCTGGGACACCCGTTATTATTATAACCGGTACTGAGAGTTAAATATCAGTAATTTCTTATCGAGGATTGAAGTGAAGTGTATTTAGTTTTAGACAAAATGATTTAGTACAAGCAGTAATGACTTCGTTACTTCTAAGGTGAACTATAGGTTCTAAAACTTGAGAAATTTGAATTGTTTTGATGAAAATAAGGGTGAGAACGAAAATTTTTACATAACAGAATACTCCGATGGATAAATTAAAAAAGTCCTAACCTCTATTTTTGAATCTTGTTGATGCGATATATTGCAAGAGCCCAAGACCTCAATGTATGTTCACGACAGCATTTTATACTTTACAAAATAAGTGCAGGCAATTGATTTTAATGCAAAAAGAACATAGGAGGATGATAATGTGAGTTTATGAATGCTTTATTAGGTCCCTATACCCTCACCATTATCTTTCAATAAAACTGAATTTCCTGATTTAACTGAAAATTTCAATTGTATTCCTTTATTTGTACATATCAAATTCAGATTAGTTTCTTCTACGTTGGTAGCAGCTTAGGTAAGTCTATTATCAGATTTTTCTGCCGTATAAAATTTTCCTATTATTTTACGATGAAGTTTAAAATTATTGAAAATAGAAATCAACCAAGGTTCGAGATCGATATGATATGATTAAAATTAATCTTTTGTTTGCAGAAGCGATGACGACATATATTGTAAGTTAAAATTAGTAACGGGCGATGTTCTTAACTAATTAGTATTTATTTTTGAAAAGTCTATTAATTACTTGAATAATTGATATATACATATATGATGTAGGTTTCTTGAGTTTATCATCAAATGATACTATTCAAACAGCAACAGCTAATTCTAACAAAATATCATTATTTATTGAACTATCTGATCACTATTCGATGGCATTCGATATTATCTGGGCTCTTTCATTCAATTCAGTTATTGTTAAACAACTTCAATCGAATCAATCATTCAAATCTAAATTAGTTCAAACCAATCATCAAACAAATGATGAAAATGTACGTAAAATTATAAATGGTATTCTTTGGAATTTAAATTCAAATCGTGAAGAAAATATTGTAGTAGATAACAGTAATACGAAAAAATTCGATATTATGATCAGTTATTCACATAAAGACAAACAAATTTGTAAACAATTGTATGATGAACTTATTCAAGTTGGCTATCGAATATGGATCGATTTCAATCAAATGCATGGTAATGTTATGGATGCAATGGTAGAAGCTATTGAACAATCTCGAACTATTATGATCTGTATGAGTGAACAATATCGACGAAGTAATTATTGTCGAGCCGAAGCACAATATGCATTTCAAAAACAATTAAATATAGTACCAATTCTTTTGCAAAAACATTACAAACCTGATGGATGGCTTGCATTTCTAATTGGTTCATTATTATATATTGATTTTACTAAAAATGAATATTCGAAAGCACTCGAACTGTTAATGAATGAACTGAAAATGGCTGATACACGGAATGAAATTTCAACTAAATCTGTTCAATCAAAATTACATAGTGTAGAATTATTAGCTATAACCTCTTGTTTGACACAACCACCATCACAATCAATAACATTTCCTGAAAATGTACAACATTGGACGGAGACCCATGTACATAGATGGCTTTCTGAAAACGATCTTCCACAGATGGCTCGTATTTTGTTGGATATGGATGGTCTAAATTTAATTTATTTTAGTGAATATATGATCAAAAGTGAACCACAACACATTTTATCATTACTTCAACAAGATTCACTTCGTCGTATAAACGAGAATGTTTCACTGATTGAAATATCTCGTTTCCGAAGTTTGATCGAAAGAAAAAATTTGACTATGTTTACACCAACCAAACAAGTCAAACAAACAGAGAAGAAAAACACAAAAGTGAACTGTTCTAAATTGTGTAACGTAATTTAGTAAATAAACATCTAAAGTGCTATTAACACAGCTTCAGCGTACCGATTCATCAATACTACTATATAGAATAGTTAGCAACAGTATCGATATCGTACACGTATATATGAATAGTATGTATTTAACAAAGATCGATACTAATGAGAAAATCTTTATTGAATGCTCTTTGTACCGAAAAAAACGAACCTACTTCATTGTCAATAGGAAAATGTATCAACATTCTGTACCAAGTTTTTCTTAAATTTTCGCGTGTCTGTATACTAAATTTATCGATTTAGAGAAATTTGAAAGCTTCAAAAGAGCAGCTACAATACATGTTAGGTATTGGGTTTATAATAAGAAATGTTTTTGTCTTATCGATCAGTGAAGTTAGTAGTTTTTGAATTTGCATAATTAGTGCTGCTATAGAGTGTTGGTGTGGGTTAAGAGCAGAGCAACACCCACACTCACACTCAACTCTTGGCAGTCACGGAACTCTTAAAACTCAGGCAACTGCTCGAGAGGAATGGCACTTTCAATTTCTTCCCTAAAAGAAAGGAAAGTAATAACTTTCCTTCCTTTTCGGAAACGAAAGGTAACCTACTTTCGACTTTCCTATCTCAAATAGAAATGAAATGGAAGTGGAAGAATTTTGTTTTTCATGTTCGAGAAGAGAATTCTACATCTTTTGTTCTGTTTTAGCGAGGAAAATGTCACAAAAGTAGAAAGCGACCAAAAAGAATGTAGAAGGAGGTCGAAAAAAGCCGAATTGTATTGAAAGAGAGTAGACGGAAAATCAAATTAATCATCGTGTTTTTGACAAAAACAACAAAGTCGAAATTAGCATCAAATCCTGCATATAAAGATGGATGATTCGGTATGACACAAATTGATTTTTTGATTGTCCAGTGTCCTTAGAGATCCATAATAAAAGTGGGAAAATGAAAGTCGCTTAAGAAAGAGAACAAATTCCGAATTTAACTCGAAATTCAATACTGGTTCTGAATATGTGGATGTGAGTGCAGACTTTCTATCCTTCAATACCCCCCCCCCCCTACCGTCACACATCCTGATGTTGTGTTTGTGGAGCAGAAAATTCAATCTGTACTTCCTAAATTGAAATGAAATCTTGTTGACTTGATTGTGATGACCTATAAGTGACCAATGAAGAGTGAGACAAAGTCCGACTAGAGTGTTGGTGGGGGTCTGGTTGTATGGGTAGGCGTGTGAATTTCGATTTAGTCTTTATCAAAGTCCGCATCCACACGGACCACGACAATCACAGTCACACTACACCCGTGGCGCAAGGACAGAACGTTTCAGACCAAATCCTCGCGGACACAATGGTTGCACAGACAAAACGTTGCAGCAAATGTTTGGCTTTTAAAGAAATTCTAATCAATATATCATATTAGAAAAACCCACTGTCATGTCATTGTCGATATGATCTATATTTTATTATTTAAATAGGTGAGAATTTCACTATTACTTTCTAATGTAATAATTATTCAATTTATTGTAAATGTTTAGTTTTGTAGAAGAACAACAAAATAACAGGATGTGGGTGTGAGTGTTTCTTTTTACCCACACCCTCACCCTCTTTCTAATATGTAATTTCAAGATTTTTGCATAACGTAGGTATTAAAATTTTCAAAGTAATCTTCTTTTTCTTCATGTAATAAATTCGATTATTTTTATATGATGTTTCTGATAACATATTGGATGTATTTTCTGACGTAGTAAAACAATGACGTATGCATTTTGAAGCTAAGTATCTGACTGCACGTCAGAGCATGTATATGAAAGCATTAGTAGAAAGAAAGAAAGAAAGAAAAATGGGCGGTAATTACTGATTTGCATGATAAATATGTTGCTAATAAATGACGCCATGGCCTTCAGGTAAACTTGTTTCATCAAGTATATTATTAGTCCTATACGAAAAAAATGTGCACAAACCAAAAATTACAACACTAAAATATGATTAGGTATGTATAGAAGCTAAGAGATTAAAATATAACTGTATCTATTACTTTATTAAGAAATGGATTCCTACTATTAATTGTCATTTATATCGTTACTGGTGACGATTCATGGCCTTATCTGAAAATTCATATTCCGTCCTTAGACATTGTTCAAGGTGAAATCAATCCTCTTGTAAAAAATGTTCGTCAATTCATTGGTTTTCCTTTTGCACAACCACCTATTGGCACCCTTCGTTTTAAAACACCTATTCGTATACGTCGTTTTAAACAGCATGTTCCTCCTATTACTGCTGTTAATCCATCATCTACCCATATTTATAACACAACAGCAAGAGCACATCAAGATGGATTTCCTCGGTTCACTTGTACGCAGAGCTCTTTCTCAAATTCGAGTGTGATCTACGCACAAGAAGATTGTCTTTATCTAGATATTTTCTTACCATTACATATCAATCATAGATCCTTGTTACCTGTCGTTATCTATATTTATGGCGGTGGTTTTCAAACAACAGATCCACATAATCCAAGTCGAATTATTTCATTGTATCAAAATATTATTTATGTTGCTATTCGTTATCGTGTCAACGTGTTTGGATTCATGGCATCAACATCTCTGTCAGCTAGTCGTTTAGGACCAATTCAGTCATCTGGTCTACAAGGTTTTGAAGATCAACAAATGGCAATGAAATGGGTTCGAGATAATATTCGATGTAAGTGGCAACTAAAGAATTTTTTACGATAACTTGGCTTCTGTAATTATATTCTTCAGATTTTGGTGGTGATCCTAATCGTGTTACATTACAAGGTCACTCAGCTGGTGGTGTATCAGTTTGCCTTCATTTAATTGCACCTGCTTCTCAAGGTTTATTCCATCGTGCTATTATCGAAAGTGGAGGTTGTGACATTGGACAAGTATCTTTACAACAAATGGAAGTAATTGGTGATGATATTACATCTCATTTTTGTAATTCATCATAAAATGTTATTTCATGTTTACAATCAATTGATGCATCTGTTTTACTTCAATATGCAAATTCTAAAGATTATTTAAATTTTTTTTCTTTAAATGCTATTCATCCACCGATTGATGGTTTGATCATTCCTGATTCAATAACTAATTTATTTCAACAGAAAAAATTTTCAAAAAAAGTTCCACTCTTAACCGGAACGACTAGTGCTGAATTCGGTTTATTTATTGCAGGAGGTTTTGAACCAGGATGGCAAATCAGAAATTTAAGTCAAACTGTATTATCTCAATGGGTTCAAATATATTCGAAAGGCCAATCAGCATATTTAAATACGACTTATAATCCATATATTGCTCCATATTTACCATCCATATTGGTCAATTATTACGGTTTGGCTGATGCATTATCAACAGCCATATTTCAATGTTCTGTTCGTCGAACAGCTGCTTATTTAACTAATAATGAATGTGGATCTGTGTATTTGTATTCATTTGATTATGTTCCATTATCATCTCCTTGTCTCGATTTATCACAATCAGTTCATGCTCAAGAACTACCATTTATATTTAATACAGCCAATTCATCGGCGTTAACACAGATTATATTTCCAGTTAACACATTTAGTGAAAATGAACAAATATTAGCATCAGCTATGAGTTTACTATGGATACGATTTGCTGTTCATGGTAATCCCAATACACCTTTGGATGCTGAAGAAACGAATCCATTAATAACTCAATTAAATCAATTTGGTGCCTGGCCCAAGTATTCGACAAATACTGTGGCTGGCCTTTCTTCTTATTTAATTTTCGCTAACCAAGTATCGCGAAATAGTAGTACGACTATTCGATTATTAACAAGTGGTTATCATTCACCGATATGTGCTGCATGGGATCAAATTGTACCAAATCCAACTATTGTTAAACGATGTGCTGCTGGTTTTAGTGGCCCGAATTGCTCATCACTCAAGAAGACATGATATCCAAAACAATGAACTTTTTGCGATATAAACAAGCATTTCCTTTGATAATTACCTGGTGTATTCATTTTCTTGTAAAGGACATAGGCGTACAAGCCATGGAAAATAGGTCACTAACTATTCATCAACAGTTAATTAGTAACTCTGGGCAGAAAAGAGGCTAGTGTTTTTACCAAATTGAAGCAATATTTTCAATATTAAAGGTGGCGTTGAGTCGGAAATACTGTAAAACATTATAGAAGTTTTCGAGAGCCTTTAGAGTAGGTTCTTAGTGTATCGATAATGATCCAATATTTGATCCAAACGTAAAACTTTTTAGAAATATGGTATGTTCAATTTGTCGCCACTAGCAAGAGTATTTAATTCTACATCATTCTACATAAAAACTTATTCTTTTTACGAACTATTGAAGACATTAGTAAAGCTCCTCAAGCATAGGGATCTATTGAGCACGATTAAATTGCATATCATCTAACATTAATTTGACTTGCTTAATTTTTTTTTGTTACATGCGAGCCGTTCTCATTGAAATACCATTCGATACAGCAACGAAAGGGTTACAAAATGATATAAGGTATTCCCAGGAGTATTTTTATTAGGACCCCTCAAAAAAGTCATTTTTCATCAGAATGATCGAAATTAAGATAAATGCAGAGAAACATAGCCCGTAATCGGATCTCTCGAAAACAACAACAATTTTTACTCAGCATTTCGTTTTTTGAAAATTTTTTTAAGATTTCCATCATTCCCTATTCGCAAAAACAAGCTGTTTTCAGCAAAAACCGAAAATCTTTTTCGCTTTTTCTCAGTTCATGATTTGTTGAACGTGCAACCCAAATTTCACTGTCCAGGTTCATGTTATATATTTAAATTTTTTTTATTGGAAAGAGCACGTCAGGATGCAGAACATCAAAGAATCTCTTTTTTAAAATAAGCTTTTTTCATTATCATATGATAGGGTGTGGGTGTGGGTGCGACTGTAGCCAAAGAGATAATCCACAACCACATCTCACACCCACACCCATAAATATGAGCAGAATTTTTTTTAATAAAATGAGACTGTAATGTTTCTGACGGAATAAGTCATTCCCATTTGATTGATTTCCATATCAAGTGCAATGAAAATAACTAATTTAAATGAAGGAAAGAGAAAAAATAGAACTGACTAATATTTATCATATCTTAGTAGGTGATTTCAGTCACAAATATTAAAGAAAACGAATGATGTTGATAATGAACAGCATCACGACGATACTGGTAATGAGACACAACTGTCACCACAAAGGCGATCATCTGTTCTCGATGGACAACTTTGAAAGAGAAAAGTTTTGAAAGAAAATCGGCAGAAGAAAACATCGAAAAGGAAAATTTTGACAGAATTAATCTACTTTCGCGATACATGATATATATTATTTTTTATTAATTTAGAAGAAAATATACAAGATAATTTGAGTAATTTAATAAGATTTATAAGTATTTCCGATTGTTACAATAAAATAGAGCTTACACTAAAAATATAGAATAAGATGTTTTTTTTCCTAATGACCAAAGATAAACTTGGTGATAGATCTTTTGCGTTTATTTGCTACTTCAAAGATGTGTCATGCAGATTATCAAATCAAATATGAAAATAATTTGTTACTATCAGTTTGTTTTAGTTCCGTTGTATCAGGACCAAGTATAATTTAGATATGTTCATAACAGACATATTGACTTTCGATTGATCTTATTAATTGAATTTTGCTGATGCTATCTTCAAACATATTCGACGTTTTACTCCCATATTTTTCTTCTCTGTTGCTTTTTATTTTGACATTCTCCTCTTTAACATTTCCCTTTTCGATAATTTCATTTTTTATTTCTTTTCCAAAACACTTTTCTCTTTCGACGGTTTCCGCCAAACCCCGATCATCTATTAAAATACTCTCAAAATAGATGTGCAAATGATGGTGAAACAGACGAGAATATTAGAAAGTCCTGATACATTCAAAAATGTATTCAAAATATCAAAGCTCTGTATCAATGACTACATCTAATTTAAGTTTAATACTTGGTAGCTAAACATGCATCATTTAAACATCGTGAACTAATTTGTTTGTTTCAATTTTTGAAACGAGTGTCACTTTTTCTTTTACTAGATTCATCAGTATATACGTGTACATAAAACGAGTATCATTTAGAATACAATTCTATAGCTTTTATCGTGATCAGAAAATCATTCATTTCCGAGGTTGTGGGTATTCATTTCGTCTATACTCACACTCACACTGCTATCTATATACATGCATTTTGAAAGTACGAGTAATTTTAAAATTTCATTATCTAAGACAAATAAAAAATGCAAACGTAATAAAAAATCAACAATATTCTGAATTATCTCATATTAAATCGTCAACAAAACTGTAGAGAAAATCATTCATGAGAAAGATCAAAATCTTTCAATAAAAAGGACAACAACATGCGCCTATTCATCGATGACAAGAGAGTGTTTGTCTATCTATTTTACCTTTGATTTATTGATCTATGATTGAGAAAAAATGAGCAAATTTTTGCTGCATTCTTCTTTTATTTTCGAACATTGACGATAAATGACAATATATGTTGTATATAAACAAAAAGATTGTTGTACCAGGTAATTTAATGTTAACTTTTGTTGGAAGATAATTTCCACAAATGCAATATTATATTTCAATCATTTCTGAATTTATGCAACAATTAAAAATATTTTGAGACTATGAGCATCGAATATTAATTTCATGCATGAAAATCTCAAGAGAGTTAAATCAAAATCGAAAAATTTTTACTGATTGATTCAGGACTAGAAGAAAGATCTGTTTCATATAAAGGTTTGCCACCTCATCACGTCATAAAATTGAAAACAAAGATTAAAAAAATAGGATAATTTTACAGAAAGTTGTTTCTCTTGTGGTACTTTCACATTCCTGTGGATTTGAATGACTTTTTACTTCTCCTTGTGATACTTTTTTTATGCTCAGAATTCTAAACTACAATAAATAATAGTCAAAGATAATAGGTGTTTTATCAAGAACATCATTTTTTCAATGTAGTTACATGTAATGTTTCCGGTTAGACGATCATTCAATTACAAAAATTATTGGACATTTGCAACACTTCTGAAAAGACACTTTCGGTAGGAATATTCGTAGCGTTGTGTGCAGAATAAAACACAAAAGAATCCTATGAACAATAATAGACTGTAAACGACAATTAATTAAAGATCTGCACCTGACTCAAGTAAATTTATTCATTTTGAACAATAGAATTTTAGCGTTTTAGATCTAAAGAGAGATAGTTGAAGTCAAAAAAATTGCAGTTAAAGCTGATCCCGACTTCCTTTTTATGTCTGTAGCGGTCAAAGTGACATTGTTTGAGCCTTCAAAATGCATCATTTTTTATAGAAAATCTTCGGCACACAAATTACTCGTATTGAAAATGAATTATTGACAAGGAATTTACTTGACTCCGATGCAGATCTCTACAACTAACAAACCAACGTAATAGTAATAGATTTCACTGAAAAACAAAAGCAAATTATTCTTGTGGAGAACCGAAAGAGGTGACAATCTCGCTCATACAAACTTTTATTTCATAGAAAAATAAATAATAAAATTGTTTCTAACTTTAGTAGGTCAGCTCTGTGAGATGTTGTATCGTCTAATGAAATTCTTCTTATCATAATGAAAAATTTGAAGTCAATTGATATGTTTCATTTCTTGATGGGGATTAAACAAGGGACATGTAATAAAATTTTGAATTCCAGTGTCTACTTAATAAAAATTTCACCAATTATGTTCAAATAATTACTTCCACAAATGCATCTTGATATTAAAATAAAAACTGTTGAATGTTTTTCTAAGAAGCTTAATCATCTTTCTGTTAATTATCCTAATCTGGATGTTTTCGAATTGTCTCTCAAATGTATTTTGTTCGAATGAAACCTGAGAAGAAACCAACTTTTACATAACAACAGAAATAGGAATAATTAGATGTTGCTTCGTTTTTTCTTTTATCTCAAAACTATTTGTTCCTGAAAAACAAAACAGGAACGCTCTCGTTTCTCCAGTTTAATAGATCCAATTGAACCAAATTTTTCACATATGCAAGACATCATTTGAAATAGACATTTGTTTTTTCTCTCAAACATAGTCTTTTGCCTGTAAAGAAAATTTGAAAAATAATCGAATATAGTATCTGATAGGAAGGTGTGTAAGTAGAAAGAGAGTTCACACCTATACCTTACCCACTCACTCCCACACCCACTTCGCAGTTGTTTTGTTGCTCTATTCTTTTTTAGAGATCACTAGAGAAACAGAATTTTATTCTTCTTTACTTTTTGCACAACATAACGAAGATGCAAAGAAAGTGCATTTTCTATTGAAACAAGAAAACCATCACCTAATCAACATCAACCACTGTTCTTTTTCACATCACCTATTCATCCTAGTGTTTATTATCTATCATTGAAAACGTTGAATATAATAAAAATAATGGGAACAACATTTAACGAGAACATCAACATGTAATTCATTGACAATAGACTATCAAGATTTCGTATTTAGATATTATTAAAATACATTGTTCCTTGATAGCGCTGTTAAAAACCAATGAAAAAAAAAAAACAAGAAATAATACCATTAACTTCTTAATTTTTCTTTCATTTTCGGATATAAATTGTTTTTTATTTTCTTCAAAACCTAGGAAGTAAAGGATCCATTAAAAATCAGAACCAATAACGGATGTATTAATAAAAGTTTTTATATAAGCAAAAATACATCATTCAATTTTTAGAAATTTCTATATATTCCTTTAAATATGAACTAGCGAAATTCGACATGTCACTATTACAATGTCGATGAAATCTATTATAATAATAGGTTAAATCAAAGAATCATGTAAAAGATTTATTTTTGTGAAATCATATATAAATAACAAATAGAGAATTTTTTTTTTCAAAAAAATCACAACAATCATCTAGCAAAATTTAATCATAATTGTTCTTAATTTGGATTATATTTTTTTGCACAATGAACATGAACTTGACTTCCATCTTGATAAACAACACATGATGTTTCATAAAATTGTTGTAAACAATGTTTACATTGACGTTGTTCATTAACTATTGTATTTAAACATTTTAATTGACGCAATTTTATATTTAATTTTTCATTTTGTACACGAATTAAAGATGATTCAATTTTAGTTGATCGTTGAGTATATGAATATGTACGTAAGGCACGTAGAAGAATTTGAGATAATGATGCTAATGACCAATGAGATGGTAAACGTTGTAAAACTTCAATAAAATCAAATTCAATATCATTATTACAAAGAAGACGAAGTAATGCTGATTTTATTTCATTTGGATATCTAAATATTATTATTTATAAATAGAAAAAACAAATGAAACATATTTACAAGATAATTTTACTTGTTTAATGAATTAAGAAAAACTTTAAATAAAATATGAGCAACAATTTTTCGATCATCACTTGATTTTCCTTGTGATAAAGCTATACAATAATTTTCCGCATATTCAAAATCTTGAAGTTCATCAACAAGTATTCGAAAAGCTTGTTCAAAATTATTCATCTTAAAAATTCAAAATTCAATAGAGAAAAATCAAATAGATAAGTAAAAAAAAACAAAACAATCATACTTTGCCATAGAGAAGAGCTACTTCACGTTGTAATCGATTTGTTTGATTAACTCGATTTAAAACAGTTTGAACACGATAGGAATTTGATGTAATTATAAATGCTTGCAGTTTAGAACTAAAATTTAACATAATAAAAATTAAATAAATTCGAAAAATAATTATTATCGAACCGTGTCTGTTCGTTATCAATATCAGATTTTGATAAAATTTGATCAAGATAAATATTAACTAACATTGTATGAATTTCATCAGTCTAAAAATAACAAGATTTTTATTAAAAAAATTTTTCATATCTCAAGGAAATTTTATCTACAAAAAAATTTTAGAATTTCGAGACAAATATATACAGGGTGGTCCAAAAGTCACGCAACCAAAGTAAAAATTGAATATCTCAATTAAGGCTTGAACAAACGGGGTGATTATTTTACCAGTGATAGAGGTATGTACAAGCTTGATATCCATACAGATATGTCTAAGGAGATCTTTTGTTAAGTATCACTATAGACCTCAACAAGAAAAATTTTACTTTTTCACATATAGAATAAAAAACAATGTACTAAACAGAGGGTTTATCTAGGCTTGTCTGTATGAATATGCAGCTTGAACATGGCTCTATTATTATTAAAAAAATCAGCTCGTTTGCTCTAGCCGTAATGGAGATATTCAATTTTTATTTTGGCAAACTGACTTTTAGGCTACCATGCATATGGCCCAAAAGTCACGATATCAAGAAAAAATGAAATATCTCCGTTACGGATCAAGCAAACGGCCTGATATTTTTACTAATAATAGAAGCATGTTTACACTTTAAATCTATATGAACAAGCTTAGATAGAGCCTTTATAAAATACCACTAATGATCTCAACAAAACAATTTTACTTTTTCACAGATAGAATAGAAAACAATATATTTAACAAAGGATCTTTCTGGGCATGTCCTTATGAATATAATGCTTGAACATGCCTCTATCATTGATAAAAGAATCAGCTCTTTAACTTGAGCCATAGTGGAGATATTTAATTTTTTTCGGCAAAGTGACTTTTTTTTCTAACTGTGAAGAAGTAAAATTTTTCTTCTTGAGGTTAGTAGTAATACTTAACAAAGGGTCTTCCTAGACATGTCTTTATGGATTTAAAGCTTGTACATACCTCTATCACTGGTAAAATAATCACCCCGTTTGTTCAAGCCTTCATTGAGATATTCAATTTTTACTTTGGTTGCGTGACTTTTGGGCCACCCTGTATATCGAATTTTCTGTTTGAATAGAATCAAAACAAAAAGATCTTCAATTAGACGAGCTTAAAACGCGTTTAAAGAATCTTCTAAATAGAGGACAAATGGAATGTTTCTTGATAGCATTTCATGTGTGAGTGTTGTCATGCCCACATGCACACCCTTCGTTTGATTTTATGAGCGTATGCAGAAGAGAAATTCTTCGAAAATATGAATATTAAAATTAAGACTTCTAATTCAGTCTTTGCTTTTTCATTTTCGGACAATGATTCATATTTGTCTCTTATTTCATATTACATGTAATATTCAAGTTTTGAAAAGTCGATACTGAATTGACATTTTTTTAAGTTTATGCATGTTAACTTGTAGAATCTATCGTAACGAATGCTTTGAATTATCAGACGAAAATGAGTTTTGATAAAGTGATAAATGTATTTATCGATTAGGAAAGAATATTAATTCTTTCTTTTGAAACTTACTTCAATTTTAAGATTAAATACAGCATATTCAAGATAAGTTACTAATGCTGTTGGACGTGTTTTTATTAAATTAATAATTCGATTTGAAGAGAATGGATCATTATTTGATTCATTTTGATGTTTACTAATGAAGATCTAAAAATTATTGGTTTATTTTTGTTTTTCTTCTTATAAAAAGAAAATATTAATTATATTACTTTTAATGCTAATTCTTCTTCGTTTTGTTCTAATAACCAAGTTGCAGTAGAAAATTCTAATGATCGATCAATATTTCGTTCAAGTATATATTTTGCAATAATCCATATACCAGGAAATGTATCATCATTCGAATATTCATTTGATACGAGTCTACGCTAAATAAAAAGATCATTAGATAAATTTAAATAATATATATATGTAAAATGCATTACTTCTTCCATATATCAATTGTTTGTTGATGTTTTTCATGTGCAGAATAAAGTAATGCTGCAGCATGATAATGTTTGGAATCAATAAGAATTTTACAATAATCAATTGAAATATATGAAGAATTTGTTTGAATAAATTCAATGATTATTTCACGAGATTTAACAATTAAATATGCTTTTAATAGGGCTGGATAATAGTCCTAAAAAAGAAATAATTAATGATATAATTCAACATTTGGATTCATAAAGAAGTGTCAATAAGACTAAAAAAAACTTCAAAAAACAAAGATTTATGCTCATGAACTTCTGAAGCCAAGTTATGATTGTTTTACTGAAAAGATCTCATTTATCGAAGTATTGAATTTTTCAGTAAACTCGTTTTTTGTTACATGTCTATAGCAAGCGACTATTTATTGGAACACCAATATCTTGATAAATGAACATTCTTTTCGACTGATCCTAAAATGGATCGAAAAACTTACGAGGGAACTACCCCAAGTGATTCACCGCTTTTGAGCTCATACTTTGGGGATAAGTAGGAGATCCCGACACTAGAATAACCTTAAGAGGATTTGGGCCCATGCACCTGTGGGACTGAGTTATAACAGTTTTACTCGATTTTTGCCCTAGGGCACTGGTTCACCTGCAAAACCAAATCAAAGAATTTCGATCTGAAATTTTGTCCACGAAGAGGCCTAATGGCCACTAGAATANATTCTATTCAAATGTAGACCTATCTATGGGCAAAATCTCAGGTCGAAATACAATCATTCGATTTGTTGGTATATATCATGCCATAGGCTAAAATTCCAGTAAAATACCTGTAACTCTGGACAGAAGACCTAACAGCCTTGATCCTTTCAGGGTTTTTCATAGCTCACTGGGGTCTACCTTATGCACAGAGTCCGAACTCAAAAGATTTTTTACACTTGCATATGTTCCCTCGTAAGATATATTCTTCAAACTTTTTGAAAATTTACATAATTCTATATTTTTGATTAGTTCGAACTCATAGTTTACATATTGAATGTGTTTTTACTTAGTAAGAAATTCGAATGCTATTCACTAGGAAAAATATTTTTACGCACTCTATTGTTTTCGTTTCACAATTGTAAACGAATCGAATTTCATCATGAACAAAACTATTCTAAATTATTTTCTACATTCAAATATTCTATCGCTGAACAAACTTGCGTATGTAATCTTTACTTTAAAAAAAAAGCACGTAATAACAACTCAAATCAATGACTTTGACGTCCGGCTTCATGATTTTTTGATCGGAAACTACAAGATAGATGTCATATCCTGTTAGACTACGGTAGGAATTTGGACGAAGTATAATGATGTTCGTTTCCGACTAGAAACGTGAAAATTCAGATATCGTATTTCTGCTTTCATTTTCCGGGCGGAACTGACCGTGTATAATTCACCTAGGAAATGATTAAATTATTCATTTATCTATATTCCGATCATCTTATAATCTGTATTTTTTTCCAAAATCACTGTCTATAATTTTATTATTGATAAAAATGAATCGATTAATCTTTATCGAAAATTTTACTTAAAATATAAAAATTTCAACGGAAAAATGTCGATTGCATAAAAGACGAACGTATTAAATGTGAAAGTTTATGAAGTGTAAATTTTCAAAATTGAATTTTAATATTTTAATCAAGTTCACCTATAAAATGACAAGAAAAATATTTATCGATTCATAGTTATAATACAAAAAATCTTATAAAATATGTCACAATTCTCAATAATTGATTTACTAGTCTAACAATTATAATTAAAATATTGTTATTCTTCAATCGGACATTAATTTTGATCTTTTTCAAACATCTAAAAAAAGGAAAAAACAAAATTTTAATCGTTAAGTCTCCTTCATTTGTCTTTTAATCATTTATTGGTATTCTAATATCCAATGAAAATATTCCTTTAAAACCTCTTTTCTATTCATCTGCATAAATAATTTAAATAATTTATGAATATTATATTTGAAATTTAGAATTTTTTATTGCAAAAAATTTTCAAAAACAAATACAAACATTTAAAAATAAATAAATATTTTTGTTTTTTTTTATATTCAATTGATATCTATTTATCATTTTCCCTTCTTAAATTATGTGACGTCATTCGCTAGAAATATTCTAGTACGTGTATCATTATACACTCTATTTAACTTCTAAAGATTACATATCTTTCTTTTAATATCTCTATAGTCGAATATGCTACAATAAATAAAACAATCATTTGTCAGGTGAGATAGATATTTTATTTATGACTATGGTTACTACATATTAACAAAAACAAAAACCTATTCATAAATAGAAAGGTATAGTTAATGCTCGGTCTACTTTTACAATCGATGTAGGATACGGTCTACGTGGTTGTTTCATCAAGCTTTCATAAGTATTCGAAATATGAAGGTTAAATTACGAAAATATTTTTCATAATAATTTTTTATTTATAAGTTAATTTTGTGTCAGTTTCGAGAAGTGAAAAGATTTAAGTCATTTTCGTTATTGTAGATATTTGAAAATTCAAAGATTATTAATCAAAGTTTTCTTTATCTCTATCAATTGAGAAATCTTTTTCTGTCGTCAAAATGATTAGGCAGCATTCGATCGAATGAAAAAAATATATCTGCAGCTTTCTAGAACGAAACATATTTAAAAAAAAAAAAGAACTTCGGAGATTGACAGCTAATAGAAAAGTTTGTTTTGAGGTAAAATTTGTTTGCATTTTATTTTTTTTATCATAATAACCCACATGACATATATTTACGTAGCACATGAATAATCAAAATGCAGGGAATATGCTTGAAACAATACATATTGATAATTGTACATAATAGTCTTTTGAATTTTGTTTTTTTTTTTGTTTGTTTTTACCTTGATTCAGTTAAAAATATGACTGTAAACAGCAGCAGAGAGTTATTGCAGGTTTCTTTTTCAATTTGTACGAAATTAAAACCTATTTCCGTTGAAATTTTAATATAGTCGAGACTTGATTGTGAAGAGACGATGTTTATCAATGATTTATATTTGTTCGTTTTTGTGTGGGACGAAAATAGTTTTAATTAAAACTGCTCTTTAATGTGTAAGAAAAGAAACAAAAAACTGTCGATTGTTATTTCTTTTGCATATTGTGAACAGATGTTTTTTAGTACTTATTTTTCTTTCCTTTTTTTTTTTTTTTTCTTCTTTTTCGATCATTCGTATTCATTTATTAGCATTAGATCGACCTTCTACACATTCATTTTCGTCTTTTGATTTAGAAAAGAAGAGAAAAACAATTTTTTTCTTCTTGTTTTTTAGTTACTTAATGAACATAGACATTTTTATGACAGTTCTCTTTTAAATTAAATATTTTATTTTTTCTACTCACATCAAGTTTATTTTGTATTCTTCATTGTTGTTCTTTTTTCTTACGATTGTATTAACAAAAATATAAAGATTGTTTTTTTGTTGTTTTTCATTATTCATTTGTATTTTAGGTAGCTATTTGACCATGGACTTGATAAGGGATGAGAATTATTTAAGAGAAAATGGTTTGGCTGATACAATTGGTATTGTTTTGGCATCATCGTCAACGTCAAATGTAAATGATATTGATGATGTACCAGATTATAATGAAGAATTTCCTCAATTAATTTCTACTGGTCAATTGGATTTTAATCTTTCAAATACATTTTTTTCTTCATCACCATTTTCAACATCATTAAATGGACCAAATGCTATGGCTAATACAACAACATCATTATTTTCTTCAGCGAAAATTGACGAAGATCGACGACGTAAACTAGCCATTCATGAAAAATCAGCTACAACTAAAATTGTAAGTTGTTTTCTATAATATTTATACGAAACAATTAAGTGCATTTATTTTTGTTTGAATAAGACTCATATTAACTTTTTTTTAATGAAATATGAGAGATGATTTTTTTTGTTAAGGCTTCTTTATTAATTTTTTGTTTTTTTTTTATTCTACAGATTGAAATTCCTCCCGAAGATCGTATTACTGATAATCATCGACGTGGTGGTAATCAATCAACACGTAACAATGGTGCTAATAATTCATTTAATAATAATGGACTACCATTACAAAAAATTTGTATACGAATTCAAAAAGAAACATGTAAAAATAAAAGATTTTATTCAATTTATAAATTCAATTTTTTTTTTTGTTTTTCTTTTCCTTTAATAGCGACAAATATAACATTTTTCAATAAAGATCAAATATTAATAGTCACTGTAACCGGTCGACCTGAACAAGTACGTTTAGCACAAGCACAAATTCTACGTGAATTACAAAAACCAATACACATAGCAGTTAATATTCCATTAGATTTTCATCGTTTTATAATTGGTCCACGTGGTGCAACATTAAAACTTTTAGAACAAGAAACATTAACACGTGTAGCTGTACCACCACAAGATAGTCAATCAAATGCCATACTTATATCAGGTGCAAAAGATAATGTTAAATTATGTGAACAAAAAATTCTTGATTTATATCATATACAATTAAATAAAGGTTTTGAACGTTTATCAATACCATATTTATATCATCCATGGATTCGTCATCAACTTGTTGATGAATTACATCGTCAATATAATGTTACTATTGATTTACCACCACCAATTAAACAAACCGATGAAATATCTATACGTGGTGAACGTGAACCTGTTGAAAAAGCTAAAACAAGAATTATGCAATTTTTTAAACATTTGGTAAAGAAAAATGTTTTCTCTTATCATAATCATTTCATAATATTAAGAAAATTATTGTTTATCTCGAGAGATTTAACTAGTAGAACGAAACAAAACAAAGAATTTAATTTGTTATATATAGCCTTGATTTCTTGTAGTAGAATATTGATTCTATATATATATAGAGAGAGAGAGAGAGAGAGAGAGAGACAGAAAAAAGAATTATTGAATATTTGTTTTTATTTCTTTGAAAGATCTAGGGATGTACCTGTATTGGTGTAAATAATAAAATATTGAATAGCGAGTCACTTTGACACAGTACACTGAAGCCGTACATCCTTAAGAAATTCTGGCAAAATATATTTCAATTTATGAAAATGTTTAAGGGTTGATCAATCAGTTATTCTATACAATGAAGTTCATTTCAACAAAGTATTATGACATAGAGACTAGCTTGTTGATACTAACGAGGGAACTACCCCAAGTGATTCACCGCTTTTGAGCTCATACTTTGGGGATAAGTAGGAGATCCCGACAGTAGAATTAGCGTATGAGGAGTTGG